ACTGTTATGTAACTTTAATGAAGAGACGAGTTTCAGCTGGACACACTGCACATTGCACAGAGCAATGCCTGCACAAAGGGAATTTATTCAGCAAATGGATGAAAAAATGTCTTCAGTCCTTTAATTCTATAAATCTTAAATGTGGGGTTGGTAGAACATTAAAAACTGCAATAATGGGGCGGCACCAAAATCAAGACAGCACAATGTATAAAATAAATAATAATCCCAGTCCATGTTAAATTTAAATGTTCCAAAGATTTATTACATTATTTCAACCTTCCATCATTGCTCCAAGTAAGGGCTAGGCCATATCAAATTGCTGGTGCGTGGTGATATGAAATTTGGAATATTTGGAATTTTAAGATAAAATTGTTCATGCACTGCAGCTGATTTTCCTCTCATCAGTGGAGGAAGGCTGACATTGAAATTGTGGCTAATTGCTACAGCACAACTCACAACAACTTAAACACTGACTGTGGAGGCTCTGCAGAGGTTAAAAACCAATAAAGATAAGATATGATTAGTTATAGCAAGGTAAGTAGCCCAAAACAAGTACAAACATAATAAAAGCCACATATAAGCAGCCATAGTTAAACTGTTAATGATATTGCCACTACAAAGATTAGATTCTTTTGAAAAATCATACTGGCATCTGCAATGTCATAAATAAGATCATCAAAATCTTATATCAGAACTGAAAAAAAAAAAAAGAATCATATTGACAACCACTGAATCACAACATCCCCCAACTGAAGGGTGTTCCCCTACGTTACATATATGATTCATAAACATTCAGTGTCATTTTGAAATGTAGGTCACAGTATGACACATCAGAGGTGCCAGTGCAAAAATGCATGGCATCTGGTACATTTAGTATAAACAAAAATATATAAATTTGTCATTGTTGTGTCATGGAGTAAATATATATATGAACAGTAAAGTTATGGCTTTTTCTGTATGCGGTGGTCCACTGAACTGGAAATACCAAAGGGAAAGCACGCGACGCCCACCTTTAAAGAAATCTGACACTGCATCTGTACTGCTAATGTAGACGCATCACTGCATCCTCCCATGCCAGGCAGGTTCACCATTCATATATTACTCAGGCAAACAGAACAACATGAATACTGTCATTAAATATATATAATATATATAATAAATATAACATATATTATATACATATATCTCAACACCTGCAATGTGCAGTAAAGGTTATTCCAAGACTTTACATTTTGAACCATCAAAAAGCTAAAAGTATGCAAGCTAAATAACAGATAATCTTAGATTTATGATGTATTAAACCTGTGCTTTGACCCATCTCTGACAGTTAAATAGTCAAAATAGTTAAGTGAAAGGTTTTGGCCGCTGGAAAAGATTTATATAGAAATATGCGACTAAATACAAAAGGTCCTCTCTATAAAACTACACCTTTTTATTATAAATTTATTAAATGTGTAACTTATTATAGGTCTAATTGTATTGCTTTTGACTGAGTGTACTGGCATTGCTTATTTATTTTTTTTATTTGTTTTTATGACTTACACTGAATATTTTTCCAGGGTATAGCCATACACATTTCTAAAATGCCAATGGTGGCTAAGTCCAGAGAGGGGGTTAGTTTGCTTTAAAAAGGCAGCACCAAAGATACAAGTTATAGATACAAGTTATAAAGGATTACTTCCAATGCTACGAATACAGACCTACTGACAACAGTCACAAAACAAAACATCAATCAAAGTTAGAGATGAGCAGCTCTGTAAAAGACCTATAAAAGAAAATTGTCAACTAAAAGCACATATTCGCCAACTAAGCGTATATTTAGCATTTTCACTATATCAGCTATATTTTCCTATAGGTGACCCTGAATTGTCGTTTTACCTTTTAGTCCAGTCCATACTCGGTCTAGTGCCGCTCCTGACCGGCCCAGATTCACTGAATGCCACATGGAGATACAAAATGTACCAAGACACTGAACTGCTGACACATCCTCTGTACAAACACGGCCTCACCTTCAAGTGACCAGCTCCAGGCTCCCAGCTCGGCCGGAGGAGGGGACTGCTGTCAGCTCAGGTTTAGAGGTTTACAGGTGCACCAGTGTCAAAACCACACTGGGCAGTTTCATATCCTACTGGCACACAAAGATAGACTGCCATATTGTATTCTTAATGTAACTTTTTTGTTCTGTGGTGGAGGGTTCGCCATTGTTTTGTTTCCATCTGGATGTTATTTCTGTCTATGATGCTCCCATAGACTAAATGGACATAGCTAACCCTCTAGTCGCCACGTACCAAATAGGAAGTGACCATTGGGCACACTTCTAGCTCCATCAACTCTGGTTCCAATTCCCTTTGTACTGAAAAACCTTGTCCCTGTCTCCGTAACTACTACTGTCAGGCTCCTCACTTTGGTCTTAAAATGTTTGCATTAACCCGATCTACATGATCCTGTTGTTTTTATTTCACTATGATGCTATTGCTACTCACTATTTCTAACATGAAACTTTCGCCCCATAACTGTTAGTCTTGTGAGCTTCATCTGACTGGAACCGACCTCTATGGATGACACATGACACATTCTCTTAGTCCACTTCTTCATACAGTCTATGGATGTTCCACAGTATGACATTATCCTTGCATTTATTTTACAGGTGTTATCACTGTTAAAAGATACATTGAAAAATAATTCTGTAAGCATGGTCACCTTTCCACAGATCTGACTTGTTACTTGGCCTGAGTACGTCACCTATTTGTTTCCTTGGAGATAGTTTCATGCTATACTATGGAACATTCCATGCAAATCAGTAACATCCTCATGAGACAAAACAGGTGCCCAGTCCTCCACCAGAAAATTTGCATAGAGTTAAGTGCACGTTTATAGCATACCCGTAGCCACAAGAATGATGTTGATGTGCTTAACTGAAATGCAGTTGCAAAATAACAACCCCGGCCATGTAAGGGGAAGGAAGAATGACTTTTATCAAGAATTACAAATACAACTACCTCAAAACACAGGGTCAGTACCAGAACTGTAACAGCATAGATGCTACAAGACCAAAACTTGAAGCCTTGTATGCACCACAAGTACATAGACCCTTGCCTTGTTGCAAACTTATATTGGTGTTTACGGTGTTTATGGGCAATGGATATGTCCAATCCACCCAAAGTCAAAAAAAGTGCTCAAACAATCCACAACACAATATCATCATAGTCATCTGAAAACTATGAAGCTGGTGCATCCTTTTACTGTCGTTATCATAGCAACAGCTAAATTCAACAAGTTTGAGCTTGTTCTCCATATTCATTTCCCAAGCCACAAAAGAAGGGCTATTTTTAATTCTACTTCTGGAAGGAAAACAATTGAAACTGGTGCCTCAGTATACTTTGCAATGCTCTTTTTGCCATACATAGAAGAAAACAGGCACTTTCATCGTCTTCAAATACTTTAAAATAGTTTAGCTTTTAACTCAAAGTGGTCAAAGAAGTGTTTCCCATTAACAGAGGAGCCTATGGTGGCCTCCCAGAGTCTAAAAACTAGGCAAGCAAAAAAAAAAAAAAAAAAAAAAAAAGTAAAACAAATGATACTTTATGCTTGTAGAGTTATCATAAACATACAGATGCATCCAATTTAAATTTATTTTGTTTTAATCTGTAATCAGTTTTTTGTTCAGTAGAGCATATACATTCAGTAGAATTTACATGTATATACATTTATTCACCAAAATATTGTATTAAAATGATGAATTATTAGTTATTATGAATTATTATTAAAATTGTGTGGCGCGCTTGTACCACCAGAGTCTTAAGATTAACACTGCAAAGTATGTATGTTAGTGTACTATGCTACGTGCTTCAACTGCTTTTATTTTTCAATGACTTTAGAAACATGCAATGAGATTGAAAATACTATGGTACAAAAAGCAATGTGGTTTGTGTAGCTGTTACTTTGCAAGCTAGAGTCTGCAAAGACAACAGCAGAGGTCTAAATGCAGATGGTTGTGGAGAGAGTTCAGGCATTCTAGCTGTAAAATTAGACAAGGTTAGTCCTGTATACTGTGTAATCAAATAGAAGAGGGAACAAAAACTCATGTTACTGCATGATACAGGCTGTCCTAAATAATGCTTATCGCTTCATCTCAACTATGTAAAACGATTCCTTTTTTAAACCAGATTCTTGTCATGTAGTTTTAAACCACCCGTGTATTTCATCACACATGCACACTAATACTATTACTTTGCAGTGTTTCCCATTAATAGGGGAGGCTATGGTGACCTCCCATAGTCAAATTTTCACTCCTATAGTTTAAAAATTATCTGAACAAAAAAAATAAAAAATTATTCAATCAATGGATCATATCAAAACATAAATCAGAAAAGTGATATTACATTTATGCTAGTCTCCATATTCAACTTTATCACACTGTGTATTCTAAAGGGTGGGACCATTTCATACAATACTACTGACACGTTGCTCTAATTTGATTTTTTTAAAAGTATACAATCTGTCACACAAGTTTGATGCAACTTTAAACATCACGAGCGGTCCAGCTGCAGACCGGAGAACAACATGTTGTTCTAAAAATACTCAGGAGCTTTCAAATCATAAAACTGTTAGATAATCCCTGGAATTGGGACGGGTTGTAATCCTCACTCAACTACGTCACATCTTTGCTATTAGGAAAACAAACACAGCAGGGAGCTACTACTACTCTTGTGGGCAGTGGAGGGGTGGAAGAAGTTTCTAGAGATGCCAGTTACTTTTCAGAAGTAGTATATGTTTTTGTTTGGTATGAGGTGTGCAGTGTTCCAGAGTTAAGTTATGGGAGGAGAGGGAGAGGGTGTGTCTGCAGGGCCTGGATGCAGCACCAGAGATTTGACAGCTGTGTTTAGTTCCTAGAGCAGAACTAGCCTGACGGAGCAGAGCGAATTCAATGGGACAAACCAGTGCATGATAAAGCATGATCATTCAGTATACTTCATACACATCACGCAACTGTTACTTACTCGTTTTTCACGCCCCTGCTCGCTGTAAACACCATATCCAGAGGGATCACTGCCTGTCCCAAGAACACATCTAGCCCAATGAGAGCCCGGTGCATGACGGTGAGGACCAGCTCGCTGCCGCTCTCCAAGGCACCTGGCTGCAGTTCAAACGTGCACTCCTCCCTCCACTCCGGCTCGGTTGTCTTCTCCGCCACGCAGGTTGAGTATTTCTCCTTCCCCAGCTGGATGATAGTGTATACATCGCTGGTGCCATTCTTGCCCTTGCCCCGCAGTCCTCTGCCTTTGAGCACCGTCACCTGAACATGTGTCGGTACCCATTTTTGGTCGTCCTCCGGGTTTAGCGAGGACATGTCCACCTCCAGACAGACAGACTGACCTGCCTGCCTGTCTGCGCCGAGGAGAGGTGGTGCTGCCGTCCGCCGCTTCCTCCCTGGTTCGCGTAGTCACATCAGCTCCAGGGAAGTCGGGCGGTGCCGCATTATGGCTGTCGTGTCTCCACTCGTAAGTTGCCGGTAGCTCCGTGCACTCGCTGTCTCTGCCGCAGCGGTAGTAGCAGCAGCAGCGTCCGTCCCCTGCCTCTCTCGCCCCGCCGTACGGGCCTCTCTGCGGGCAGCGACGTCACGCCTTTACCCTCCTTCTGCAGGACAAGGAAGTTCAGCAGCACCGCTCTAGCACATGGCTGTATGCACACTCCAATCACTACAATACACTTACCAGGCTGTGGAGGAATGCACGTGTTTCTGCCCACGGGATGCCTCCAGCCACATAAACAGCTGCAAATTAGACGAACTGACAAAGAACGATACAAAAACAAACAGAAAAAAGAGAAATGCCTGAATTTAAAGGTCCTCCGGTAACACAAAGGGCTTTATTCTCAACGTAAATACAATTTAAAAGTTGTTGTTCGTTATCATCCGTTTGACATTTCTTTCGTGGTAGAGGCAGCCGTATCCATGCTGTTAGCTAACGGTGGCTCATTTCTGGAGTTATGAGGATTCGGAGGATTCTGGGTAAAATGCTAACAAACACAAAATGCTAACAAAAAGTCCGTTATTGTAATACAGTGCAAACTTTTGAGAATCTCAACAGTCAGTGAGATTATTACACAGATGGTAACATCTTTTCAAAATAACTAATTTAATATACATCAGTTGGTGCCGCTCTAGACCCAACTCTTGTTGCCATAGTAACAAAGCATCACTTTTTACAAACGTTAGGCTATTTATTTTTACCTGGGGAAAAAAAGTTATTTATTTTGTCTTTTTTTTTTTTTTTTTTTTTTTTTCAACAAAAAATCTTTTAGTTTGTTCTTTTTAGTCTTTTAGTCTTTAATCTAAAACAAAAGCATTTAGGCAATTTGATTTTAGGTGTTCAATAAAAAAATAAAACAAGCACGCTATGTATTTAATTGACCTTGGCTATCAAATGGAGACCTGTGTAGCATGTTTTGGGTTGATGGGGGAAACCCATCCAGACACAGGGAGAAGCATGCAAACTTCACACAGAAAGGCCCGGGTAACCCAAGTCAGACTTAGACAAAATTTATTGATCCAGAAGGGAAATTATTTGGACACAGTAGCTCACACAGCACAATAGATTATAATATCAAAGAGCAAGAATATAAATGGCAGTGATACATTCAAAATAAGTAGCAAAAATGACAAGAGACTGGTGTCAAATATAGCATAATTATATACAAGTATATGTACATGCAAGTAAAAATTAAAAATATAGAAATATCATAGGCTAATACAAATATATCTCTCCACTAAGCTTATATAAGAGAATAACTTTATAACAAACATAGCCTATTCAGTGCAATGGGTTTAAGGGGTTGTCTGCAATTGAATCTATTGAATCTCAGAACGAGCCAGCTGTTGTAGTCTGGGTCTGTCTGACATCAACATATAGGCTCTATGTGTTACCATATGTTTTCCCACATACGGATCAGTTGCTATAGTGTCCTTGTTAGTAGCCTACTCATGTCATTTCTAAGATGTTTCTGAGACTATACTTTATCATCTACATGTATCACTTGTGTTATGGTCCCATTGTATCGTAACTGTAAAGATTAAATAGCTCCTTTGCCAGTTCCCTTTCTCTGTACTTATTTGACCTTGGGCTGTGGGCAGTCTCCTTTGACTGAGTTACAGCTTGGACTGTTGGCTGCTTCAGACATTGGAATAGACCACTCTCAACTCTGATACTGAGGGCTGATGGAATACAGCACACAATATGAACAAATCAATAGTGTTCTTTTGACCTTGATTGATTAGAGGTTATGTGTAATGACATCATCAATCTGATAATCCATGTTTCAGTACAAATCAGTAACTAGTAAAAGAGAAATCATTTAATGTCAGATTTCATAGCAGACCTCAAGCCAGAAGGTTAGGCCTACAGTTTGACCTTGTAAAATAAATAATAATAATAATAATAATAATAATAATAATAATAATAATAAAAGATTATATTTATAATAATTGTATCAACCATATTTAAACTTGTGTTGCTTGTAGGCAATGTAAAATAAATGTAACCTCCTAGACACAAAGTAGTCTTGAACTTTGTAGATTTAAAAAATGTAGATTCAAGACCAAGATCTTCACTTTTAACTTTTAAGCATGAGAAGAAGTGAGAAGTGTGATCACTATTATGGGTGTCATTTTACACTATCTGTAAGTGTGAAGTGTTAATGAAAATATGTCCAAAGCAGGGAAAACGAAACTTCACACGCTGGCCATTTTGCACGCTCTAATTTGGGGTAATTTAATAGTTTGTGTTTAATTGTGTGTGTGTGTGTGTGTGTGTGTGTGTGTGTGTGTGTGTGCGTGTGTGTGTGTGTGTGTGTGTGTGTGTAGATACTTTGCAAGGGTGTTCAACATGTTTCTCTACTGGCGGAATGTTCAACAGTTACCATGGTGACATAATGCACGCACTAGCAAAGGCTGTCAAAAAGTTTTAAGATTGTCTGAAAACTGCAGAAAAAATACAAAATGCTCTAAAGTGTGTTAAAATAAAGCTCAGATTAACAGAGCTTCAGACAGAGCAGTGCCCACAGTTAGCCTCACACACCCAGGGAATGTTGATGACATCAGCTGCAAAGTATCGATTAAAGGTGCACATTGTAACTTTTCTAGTGATGGTTCCCCAAACATTTTTTTCCTAGAAATATTGCTTTGCTTGCGATGTTCCAGTATGGCATTAAACCTATCTATATCAATGGAGAGACTGTTGCTAAGCCAAATTACAGATAAGTTCTATGGAGAGGCAACCCAACCAATGTATGTTTTTCAAGATGTAATAAAAACACTGTAACATTATAAGCTCAGCTAGAGAGTTTAATGCCATACTGTAGAATATTTCGTACAAAGGAATAACTTCTCCATAGAGACTAGCAGGTGAGGTGACATACTCCCCACCAATAAAAGTTACACAGTGTGCCTTTAAAAGCACAAGTGAATATTTCTAGTATAAGTTTGACATCCTCCATCTAAGCGACATTTTTCATGTTTTGGCCAAATAATTTTAGATAGCCAGTTCGTCTCCATAGGGGTTTATACTGTGATAATTTTAGAGGAGCTACTAATTAGCTTTGAGAATAAATGAGTTTTGGACCAGCTTTAAATGTGGAGAAAATAGTTTTAATAAATACTACAATCTGTGCTTCATAGATTTAGTCAGAAGCACAAAAATATTTAAGCCTCTGCCAAAGTCATTTTTGGCCGTGTAGTGATGGGGTAGTGCCAGTTCTAATGGGCAGGTCTGGTTGGTAACAGTCCAGACTTCAGAAACTACTATATCAGTCAAATCAACAGGCTGTTCACTGAATCACACTTGTTAGTAATGAAAGATTAGCTATAACTCTGATTATAATCTTTATGTTTATTATTAAAGGGCCCATATTATGCTATTTTCTGATTTATGCTATAATGTTGTTTCCTCATCACAAACATACCAGGAGTTGTGTTTTGTTTGGTTCACACAAACTCCATACACCTTCATTAGAGCCATTTGGATAATTTAATCCCTGGAATTGCCAATGTTTTCTGAACAAAAGGTAAAAGGTATCTGTTGACATGAAAACTACCGCTTAATGACATCACAAGCTGAAACAGAGCATTTTGAGCTTTGGAGAATTATACTGACAATAATTAATGAGACAAAAGACAAAACAAAACACAGGTATGTTTTTGATGAGGTAACAGCATTATAATATATAGCTTAAAACTCACAAGCTTAATATAGGATCTAATGACGTGAACTCCACCCAAAACCATATTGAAAATAGAGCTGTTAAACTGGGCAGAACCTGGAGGACTAAAGAATTGGGTGACGGTGGAGGAGGGGCGGGGTCTGGAGGTACAATGAACAGAGTGATTAGTAAAACAAATATCCACATTTCAACCTCCGCCCCTGCAGCAAGGTGTTTACATCAGAAATGCCTCTCTGTAATCAGGGCAGTCTTGTGTCATGTCACCAAGTACCTGAAATTGAAGGAGCCACTGGAGCCAGGACACACCCATTTTTATAAATTTTTGACCACAGACTTGCAAACTAACCTAGTTTGTACTAAAATTGACAAAAAGGACTAGAGACAGTAGACCATGCTATTAAAACATCTGAGCCTGGAATAGCCTTACATTGAACTGAAAAGAAATATTGATTAGTGTTTTAATTTTAGGGTTATCACATACATATAATCTCCCCCACAAAACTGTGCATAACAAAAGTTTTATTTCTTAGGCTGTCCACGTGAATAGATGTAAAGAAAAAGTATTCAAAATAAAGGGAGAGTATTTCATAATCTAAACATATAAGTAAAAATTGTAATATAAGCCTTCAGTGCTGCCATGTTGTTGAGTCTGTACAGTGGGCAAAGACGTCAGATATTTTAACATTGTTAAACACATATTGTTTTACTTGTATGTGGGATACAGAGATGAAATAATTTCAGATTTGAAAGAAAAGTGGAAGTAATGTACTATTTGAATACAAATGGCTAGTAGATTTACATCCCTGATAAAAAATGTATATAAATATCAATAAACAAGATTATATAAGCTTCATAATACACCAATAATGTACAAATATACAATTTATATTATAATTACTAAAATATACACCAATATACAATATAGGGGGAAGACATTGTGAGGCAAAGCTTAGAGGGTACTCAAGATAGAAAAAAGATAGGGAACCACTGCCTTAAAGGTTAGGGCTCTTTCCCATTAATTATTATGTAAAGATACGGGAGGAGCTGTCATTTTCTGTGTAACATAGTCATCAATGCAAACAAAACCCAGTATTCAGAATCATGTCAGAGTGACGTGGATTACACCATAAGAATCCTTGAGCTCTGCCCATGCAAATCAAAGCAGAGGGAGCATGCAGGAGTGCCAGGTTCCGCCTTAGAGACTCCATAAGGGCCTGGTGGAATTTAATGGACACTCGGAAATCTGATAACTGCTAAAAATGCTTGAGTTTTATGCCTCTTGTTATCTTTCACTCTTCCTTTGATAGGCCCCTATTAGCTCACACGAGCTGTCTGTCTGGGTCTGAAGAATTGTGAGCGAGTGGAGGACACTGAAGACTGTAAGGGGTAAAGACTGTAGCGCCCTCTGTTGACCACTGTAGGAAAAACAATGAAACTGCAAATGAATATGAGATGGAACGGGCTAGAAAAAAAGAGTTAATGGTTTAAAGTATGTGATCATGGCATAGAATAAAATATATTACAGATTACAGAGCATATTTATAAAAGAACAGGCAGGGTAAACATTACTCAAACTTTTGCCATGAGACTATAATTTCAGCAATAATTGACAAATAGCATTTAATATAACAATATACCTGTACAAGCATCAATAAAACAGAATAGTTTAATTTAGTAGTACTTATATTTTAAACATGTACTCTATTTTAAAGATCAGCTGTTTTAACTGGGGCGCCATTAATTCACTTCACTCTGTTAGAGCTGTTTG